GCACAACGTTTAAACATGATGATATTCATAAATATATCTGGATATCACCGGATTCGCAAACACAAAATCAAATCGATCATGTCTTAATATAATATAGCTGGCAAAGCAATATAATTAATGTATGGTCTTATTGCAGAGTAGAATGTGGGTCAGATCATGAATTATTAATTGCGAAACTTTGACAAAAAGTTAATATAAAAAAGAGAAAAGAAAACAGTTTTGAGAAATTCAATTTGGAAAAATCCATCAATTAGAACTCAATTCGAGCTAGAGGTTAAGAATAGGTTTGAAACTTTAGAACCTTCTGATGAAGAGCGCGATCATATAGACAAGTTATGGGTAGGGATCAGAGATAATGTTAAAGCTGTTGGTAACTCGTGTCTTAGGAAAAAGGAAAACCGCGATTCGATGAAGATTGTTTAAACATGTTCGAATAAGAAAAGCTGCTAAATTAAAAGCTCTAAATAATCCTAGCGAAGACAATCTCGAATTCTTCCTAACTTCAAAGCATGAAACGACAACATTGCTCAAAAATAAAAAAAGGGAGTACCTTAAAAATAAAATAATGGAAATAGAAACTAATAGAATAAAAAATAACATAAGAGACATGTACAAAGGTATAAACAGATCACGTAAATGTTTAGGATCCATCACGTCTGATATTAGGGCTGAAAATAATCTGACCGATCCGGTAGAAATATTAAATAGGTTTAAAAATCATCACCCACTTTGACAATATTTTAAATACGGGAAGTTATGATCTGTGTCCTCCTTCTGAGTACCAAAGTGCTGAACACGGAAACTTTTATACTAAATACAACAATGTAAATGAAAGTCGGTAAAGAATTAGGACTTGAAATAAACACGGATAAGACAAAATATATGGTTAGCTGCAAAAATGGCGATATTGCCCATGATATCAATATAGAAAAGGTAATATGTTTGAGCATGTTGAGAAGTATCTAGGGTCTACAATATACTGCAACACACCTCAAACCCAGCTCATCTCCTTTTCTGCTAATGACCTTAACGCTCACTTTGTCTCCTGTCCCTTCTCATACTCATCTCCCGCGGCTATGCCGGCTCCTGTGTGTTTTCCTATAAATTTTAATCCTGATCAATTCTTTTTTTCCCATATTACACCTGATGATCTCCTCAACTCCATTCAAAAGTCGCAAACCAATGATTATGGACCTGATAACATCCCAGTCAGACTGATCAAAGTCTCACTACCATCCATCCTTCCAATCCTCTACCATATCTACAATTACTCACTACAAAACGCTACCTTTCATACATCCTGGAAAAGCGCACTAGTTCGCCTTATGAAAAAGACTTCCAACCCATCAACTCTCAATGATTTCCATCCAATTTCTCTCCTCTCAAATCTTTCTAAACCTTTAGAACGACTAGTTCAAACCCAAGTATCAGATTTTCTAGAACAGAATAACGTCCTAAATCCCAACCAGTCCGGTTTCCGGCCTGGCTACTCCACTCAGTCTGCCCTTATCAAAATTTCCCAAGACCTTCATACAGCTATGGACCAGCAGAAAATCACCATCCTTATTCTCTTCGACTTCTCCAAAGCCTTTGACTCAGTAGACCACAAAATTCTCCTAACCAAGCTTAAAAATATTTCCTTCTCAACTAGTACCCTTAATTGTTTCCAATCCTTCCTTTCCGACCGCTCCCAGTATGTTGTAGTCCCCAATAACCCCCATCAGAACCTTTACCTTTGTCCAGGGGTGTCCCACAAGGCTCCTCTTTATCTCCCACCCTTTTTTCCATCTACATCAATGACCTTTCATCCTCTATCCTTCACTGTCAATACCATCTATACGCCGAAGACGTCCAGATTTACTTCTCCTTCAATCCAACCAAATCCTCTGGCGCCATCCAAAAATTACAGGAAGATATAAATGCAATATGTGCCTGGGCAAATCACAATAGGATTACTCTAAACGCCAATAAGACGAAAGGTATTCTGATCGGATCTCCCTCACTCCTCAAATCCATACAGATACTCCCCAATCTTTTCCTGAACAACTCACCTATCTCATTCCATACTTCAGTAAAAAACCTTGGTGTTACATTCGATCAAATCATCTCCTGAAAACCACACATCTCCCAAATTTCCCATCGTACTATCTCTACCCTGAAACAGTTTAACCGTCTCCGCTATCTCCTTCCATATAAATCCCGTCAACTCCTGGTTTCCTCCCTTGTGTTCCCCCACTTCGACTATGGCTGTCTGGTGTATGGCGGACACTCGGGAGAATTCGAGGCCAAACTTAAATGCCTGATGAACTGTGCAGTACGTTTTGTTTTCGGGATCTCAAGAGATACACATATAACCCAGTATTACACCAAGTTGAAGTGGCTCTATCCATCCAACAGCCATTTGTACCTCCTTGCCACTTTTCTATACCAAGTCATCAGAACTCAGCAGCCTTCCTATATTTTTCACAACCTACAATTCAAATATTCCATTCAATCCCATCTCACTAGATCTCGTACCTCCGACCTCTATCCACCACCCCACCGAACTGCAGCGTTTAACAAATCCTTTATAATTCAAGCCGTCTCCTCCTGGAATATCATCCCTCCCAATATCCGACATGTACAATCAGTTTCCTCATTTAAATCTCTCCTTTTTAACCACCTACTCCTTTCCCAACCCGATTGATCATGAAATGTAGATAAGAGAACTTTTAAAGTTCCTCCAGAAATGATTTTCTTTACTTATGCTATTTTATTTTATTATATAGTTTGTATTATACATATCAGAATGTTTTTAGTGTAATAGTTATATTTTTTCAAAATCTAAATCTTAATAATAAATGTAAATAATTAATTTTATGTATGGCCACACAGGCATTTATTCTGTATCTGTAATTTGCCCTAAAGGGACAACAGTCCCAGGATAATAAAAAAATATTTTCATTTCATTACAATAACCCCCCAAAAAAAAAAAAAATTGAAGAGGAGATTAAGATTAGGCTGGAGGCGGGAAATGCTTGTTATTTTTCTGTGACAAAATTACTTAGTTTGCGCCTCTTGTGCCAGAACTTAAAATCTAGAATCTATAAAACCATTATTTTATATATAGTTCTTTATGGATGCGAAACATGGCCGCTTACGTTAAGGGATGCACAACATCTTAAGGTTTTTGAAAATAAAGTATTGTGTAGAATATTCGGACCGAAGAAGAATGAGTTAACTGAAGAGTTTAGACAGTTACACAAAGATGAACTGTATCCAGTTAATATAATTGAGGTGATTACATCGCGGCGAATCAAATGGGCTTATTAAATTGTTGGGCATAGTAACGAAAGAACTCCTAAAAGGTTAATATTTGCTGTACCGAATGGTAATTGTCAATATTTGCTGTAAGGGATGGTAAATGTCCGAGGGGTAGACCTAAGCGAAGGTGGGGAAATTGCTTTAAAGCCGATCTGTAGGGATTGGGTCTGGACGGCAAAAGGTGGAGGGAGGTGTGTAATAAGCGATTGGTGGCATCAGCATTGAACCTTCGGGATCACTAAGTCTTTTATTATTATTATATTGTTAAATGCTAATTTTATGTAATTGTTGTTATGACACTTAGATGTCATAAAAAATGCCACCATCATTGCACAAATATCGCCAAGGGAAAACAAGAATAACTATATTAAAATCAACTCATTTTTTTATTAGTTTTAATAATCCATACAATCAATAATTGATTGGTTAAAATATTAATATGAAATCAATTTTAAAAAACCTATCATTCGCATAGCAAACATGACTTAATGCATATGGATACATAAATAATATAATTAGTTCTATAAATTAAATCAAAGGACTACTGAACAAGAACTATATTAAAAAATACCCCTTAAATACTTCAAATTAAGGCAAATGAAATACCTTGTTTATCAAAGTTATCTTCTCTGAGAATACACACAAGCGCCAGAAATTTACTGACTTCTCTGAGATAAAGAACTGTTCCATTGTTAAGTTTTATGAGACTTGAACTTTGATGATCGAATGCTCCATTATCATTTTCTTCTTGCATCCTGACAAAAAACATGAAATTATGAATTCCGTGAATTAAGGAGTAGATAACTTTGTTTAAACATTAAATTAATAGGATCCTAGATTAATACCTCAAAAACAAAATTTGAAGAAAAATTACTTTAAAAATATATATACTCTGAAAACATCTCGGACCTAGCAACAGACCAGTTGTAGCAAAAAAATGATCAGCTTCCTTGGACTTGGTATCACTATTGAATGCAATTTAAAGTGGGTATAATGACATCACATATTGTTCATAGTGACTTATTATTCATTTAGAAAACAGGTTAAAACATTGGCATGGCAGTAGAAAATGGAAGAGAAAATCAGTTCAAAATGAAAAAACATTTCTCTCCTTTTTATTCCTACTTCTTGCTTAATCCCTTTCACTCTATAATCTTCTGTTTGCATTTCATTTGATATGATGCATTTATATTAAACAATGAATTGTGGTATTCTTTTTTCTGTTTAAATTTTCTTGATGAGTCTCTGCAACATTTTAACCGTATCTTCTTCTTGTGCAATTTTGTCAATGCCAGCTGCTTTACCCAGCTCGATGTCATCCGGCTGAGTGTCCTGTAATCCACGCCTTCTTAGACCAATAAACTCATCCCTCCTGCACTGCATTCTTGCATACAGAAAAACCTTTCCTGATAGTGGGTTCTTTTTTTGTAATAAGATTTCCTTGTCTGTATTTTATGTTGTACACTGGTTTCCTTTATTACCTCTAATTAACTTTATAGTGTTCCAGAAAACTTTTGTATTTTCCTGAAGACTCTCCTCCAACTTCTTCCCAATGCTTGCTTTTAGGAGGCTGGAACAATCCTCATGGCTCCATTCCTTTTTTAAACTTAAATCGGCCTTGAGTTTCAGTCTTATCCTTTTATGTATTCATTCTAAGCTTATTTTTTATCTTTAATAGCCTTCTGGATGTCCTCATTCTACCAGTGGGTCTTTTTTGATCCACTATTTATCTTTTTCTTCCCGCATATCGCTACTGCTGTATGAAACATTGCTTCTTTAATCTGTAGCCATAATGGGTCTATTTTCTGCTCAGCATTGATTTCTACCAAAGCGCGTGCTAGGTGACTCTAATATTGTTCTCGTTAATCTTCACCCCTTAGTACCTTCACATCTATATTTTTGGTTTTGAAGCTTGTAGTACAGGAACCTTGATTTTTGATAAGTTTAATTGCCTAAATAATTCATCAACTATAGTTAAATGAAAAATATACATAATAAAAAAATTATATTTTCAAACCTACATAAAGATTATTGCTGTCTCTGTTCAATACTGTAACATCTCAAACAAAGTAAATTTTGAGATATTTAAGTCTTTATCAATAAACAAGACCTTTGCTGTTGAACCTTAAATATCAAGGTAAAATAATTTTAAAAAAAAATCAATGTAAACAAATAATTTCAAGATATTACAGTATTGAACTGTAAAAATTTTGCACTGTTGCTAAGAATACACCCATACCTAAAAATCAACTTATTCTGAGGTGTTAACCTGGGGTAGCAATTTAATATAAAATAATAATTAATATAAAGAAACAGATAAAACAATATTAAATACCCATAAAGACCAGATATATCGATCACAACATCAATCATATCACAGCAGAGTTCATAGCTTTGCATATCAACAGGAGAACTGTCTGTTGCTACATAAATCTTAGAAACGACATCAAATAAAAATGCTTTTTCAATACCAGAGTTCTGTAAAAAAAAAAATAATAATAATAATAAAAACAAATAGAAGAACCAGACAACTCCAATGTAAACATGTTTTACGTTATTAAAAATAAATAAGATACTTACTGAAATTAAAATGTTAAGCAAATTTTCTAGAGTAGGTAACTGTGGAATTAACTTTTGTACTACTTTACTGAATGCTTCGAAAATGCTATGATCATATATGGAAGTGAGGTGAAAGCTGAGGTTAATATTATGAAATCCTGCAGAAAAGAAAACAATTATAATATATTTACAAATATAAAAACTTTCTTTTTATCATAACTTACTTTTATAACACTACAGTGGTCTCACAGTTGGTTGATAGGAGGGCAATGATCACATCTACCACAATGTACTGAGTGTATTCGGAAACATTTCTAGATGACCAATTTCCAAACCCCTAATTAATAAATATAAATAAGTAGCAGGAACGGACTTCTGCATTAGGTTAATATTACATACAGAATATTGAAATAAAAGTTTAGTTTCTTTTATTTGCCAAATATAGAGATAAACACAATTTCAATGTTCCGAATTGTGTTTATATTTCCGGTCCAATTAAATAAATTGGACTAGAAATATAAACAAGAATGACTAAATAAGTCAGATTTGTTTAAAATATAACCTACCATATCTTTTAGAAAGACAACAAATTCGGCATTTTATGTACAGGGTTGTCATGTGATCTTGGCCCAAATGCCATCCAAAACAGACACTACTATAGCATTACCCCTACTTTGAAAAAATTAAAATTAACAAGAAATACCTGCATCGGATAAGTCATCATTAGCTCGCTGATGAATATCTCGTTGAGTTTCCATCTTATTATCTTCTGTCAGACCATCGACTTTATGAATAAAAGTTTCGAATTTGATATTGGGATTTACCTTAAAGGCTTTGGTAACAGTTACATTAAGTTTATTTAAGGCATCCATATAGTCATCCTGAAACGGGAACTATTTGTAACATTTTTGATAACAGGATTGCAAAAAAATCAAATTAACGATAAATACCTGAGCATCGATGACGAACACTAAAGCTCCGCAACCACCAAAAACAATTTCTAAATCAAGATTTGAATCTAATAAATCCATCTGACCTGGTAAATCCCAAATTTGGAATTGGACAAAAGAAGAATTCGATATCTCTTCTTTAACAATTTTATTTGTACACTCAAGAAATAATGTTTCGTTTGGTGACATTTTCTGAAAAACAACCTTTTCAATTGATGTTTTCCCACTCCTGGAAGAAATTAATCAGAATGAAATTAATATTAATACACATAGTAGCTCAATTATTCAGAAAATTAACTAACCTCCTAAGTCCCATTAAAATAATTCTTGGCTTATGGTCAATATTATTGCTTTCTACTCCTTCTCCATCTTGTTCAAATCTATTGTAAGCAAATTCTTTTTGGTCTTCATAACTTTGCCCATATTGATCATCCTCATCCTGTTCAAATGACTAGAAAGAAAAATGACAATCATGTCACATTACTAAACCATAGGCTTTATCCATTAGATCTGTCATTTACTTCAACATTCAATTAAATTTAAACTAAACTTTTTTGGGAGACATTAAAGAAGGGAAAACATCAAACTTACCATTATACTAGAAAAGTAGAAAAAGCACTATATCAATTGTCAATTTTCTAATTTAAAGCTTTCTGCAAATAAATGAGAGTCTTAACATTTCTCAAACAATAGACCACATTGGAAACGTCTTCTAAGATAAAGACCTTATCCAATATTAGTTATTCTGGAGTTTACCCAGATCACGATAACACACGACAACCCTTATAACTTGATAGGGTGAAAATATCATCTAGCAGAAATACGAACACGAAAAATACTGACATTTATCAACTGCAAAAACTTGAACTGCCTTTGAAAGGGCTCAATGACAAACGCATTGTCGTACAGGTTAGCATTCTCTTGTATAACCCCTCAATTATTTATCCCTGCAGTTGCTCCAGTTCAGTTAGCAGATTTATAAGTTTATTTTGCCTTGACAGTTCTGTTATTTATTTATACATAGTTTGAAGTTTTCTTTAAAGATTTTAGAGTTACAAAAATGAAATATCGGAAGGCAGTACTCATAGCTTTATGTACGTTACCAAGATTGTTTTGTTAAAATATCAAAACATTTGAAATGTTTATACATAATTTACATATTTATATTTGTTTCAAGGTTTGACAGCGTTAATTATCGAAGTTTTTGGAATCCCCGGATCAGCTGGCGGAGCAAAATCAGGAAAATCGGCGGCTGTCAAAGGAAGTGTCAGTTCTTCAAAAAATAATGCAAAGCAAGCTGTTGGACCCAATGGTGAAAATACAATTGTGTTTTATTATTGATAATTTAATTTTAGCTTATGTAAATTTTAAACCAATGTATTGCGGATATTTAAATTTAAACTCCTTAGTGCTTCCAAATAATGATACATCCAATTAAATTTATCTAACAGTAAAACCCTTTATAAATGTATTTTGTATGAAGGTTTCCTGAATTTCTCTGTTTAAAGTTTTTTTAAAAAATGAAAAATCGGTAACTGTTTGAATTAATTTTAACGATCTGAGAAGTGTCGAAATATATAACTAGTACATTCCATTGTATATGTTATTCAATTCTCATTTAGGATTCTTAATTGCCAGCTAAAATATAAAATAAGAACTGGCATATTATTTTATTTTGCATATAAACGTTTGTACGGTATTTGAAATTGTAACAATCTTCATTTATGTAATTAGTTAGATTCTTAGCCAGCCATGTTTTCACCATATGGAAGAGGCTTTACTCCAGCAAATGAGAGTAAACATTTATTCTATTTGATTAATGTTTCAATGTTATCGTTTATTACTCTATAGAGCATTTAAGATCTAGATTTAGGATCATCGTTGAGACAAAAATATTCCATTGTCTAAAATTAATAGAAAATTCTAAAACAGGACATTACGATCATAAATAATTATTTATATTTTTAACATTCTTATGCAATAAATCTGAAGTTTCAGTGTACAAGTGGTTATGGTAATTTAGACGCAACCAGAAAGTGTGATTATAGTTTGTCTTTAAATACATTTAGAAATTGTTCATACTATATTAAATCACTTGAATTTTACTTATTGTTTGATCAATTATACTCCATAATAAATTTATTTCTTACTTTACTATTCACATTTATAGAATTTCATTTCTTATTTTTCTATTCTCTATATCTAGAATAGAAATCAAATTTTAAACCTAGGAGGGTAATATTCCAAAATTAGAATCATATATTTCTTCTGAACTTTATGTTTTATAGTGAACTAAACTCCAATTTCATAAGGAAGCCATTTATAAATTAACCATGCTATTAGTTTTTGCACAGATTATCAGTAAAATTATTTTTGCTATGGAGTAATGTTGCGCTCAAGGTGTTTTATTCCTCCTATTTTACGATATACTGCATATTCAATGAGTTACAGAGATATGAATGCCTAAGTTTAAGAGCAATGAAATCTATAATATTTGGCCATAAATTTTTAATTTAAAAAGTTCTCTAATAGCTTATTTGATTTTTTCTATGGGCAGCTTAGATGTTGATATAGTGAGGTAATGTTTTTGTTTTGTTATTTATATTTATTAATAATTGTTAATTAATTATTAATAAATTAAGAATTTCTTAAATATTAAATTACTTAAACAATTAATAGTTTACATTCAAATTTAAGTTGTACTTAACATTAAAAATAATGTTTATATTTATTGTTATATATATATTCAGATTTATAAATAATTCTGTGTATTGATTTTTAGTGATTGCTTTTTTGTTGTTTTTCAAATAAAATAATTCAAATTAGTTCTGATAGATTAATATTTGCAAGTATTGTTTATTCCATATTTAATTTTTTTATTAAATTATTTTCCTACTAATAACATAATTTTTGTATTCTTTTTTTTAATGTAGCTGGAGCAACGAAGGTAAGCAAAGCATCCTCAGGAGGTATTCTTTCAGCATGGGGTATTATTTCAATGGTGATTTTTGTTATCGGGGGCTCAGCTCTCATTTATTATATTTCTATATTTTATCCATTAGTATGTGCCAAAAGAGGCAAGTATGATGTTATGGAAATGACATCCGTTTGATATTCCTCTATTTTTTCATTTAATTCTACAAGACTTAATGTGAGCAATGATGTAATTTATGTGATCCTTTTTAACAGTTCATAATTTATAAATGACAGTAGGTAATAAATTATCTAGATTTCTGACATTAATTATGTAGGAATTATTTTGTAGTTTCTCAAATTTCGAATTACAATTGGATCGTATAGTTATTATGATCATTGCTCAGTAAGTTATATAAAACAAAGTGATTTTAGATAAATATTTTGTTGGTTATTAAATCGACAAACGAACTGAAATTAATTATTTTATTCAATAAAAGTTTAATGTTAATTGTAAATTGATAATTACATGACTGTTGCTTTTAATTTAACCTTAGGTAAACATAAAGTGAATTGTCCACACAGATTAAATGACCACTGTCTGTATTGGACTAGATTTATCAAACCAAATGCAGACAAATCCAGGGGAAAAAAGCATCCCGGTTGTGCCTTCCATGATTTGTAACTGGTTATTTTTTTTTTTTAATTTAGTAGTCCTATGCTTAGTAATCCATTCAACGAAGAATTTTCTCTTTGGTTCTATTGGAATCAACTAATACATACAAAAATATAGGTAATTAATGGGAAAAAAACATGATTTGAGTTTGATTGATTCAAAAGCACTTGTGTCCTTTTTATTCATTAAAGAAACTCAAGTTCCAATAATATAAATTTGGTTCTACTTATATTAACATCAGAAACTTGTCCAAAAGAGTAGGTCTATATTTTCGATCAGAATTATATATTATTAGTGTAGGCAGTTTTAGGCTCTACTTTTTCCCAGTGGACAGTCTGCTTTCTGTTTCAGAAACCTTACTCTGCTCTTTAATATAGAAAAATGTTTGTATTCATAATTAGATATTAATTCCTTAGAATTTATATTTTAGTTAAATTTGATCTTAAAATTGACAATAAAAGTAAATATTCCTATAGGTATGACAATGTTATAAATTATGAATATTTTGTTATTAGGCTAGGTTTTATTAATTATGAAATAAAAAAGAGCTTTAAATTGATTTACACAAATATCATCAAAATGGGACCAGTATATGTATACATAAAAATTGATCATTGTGAAAAAATTCTTAACTGAGATTAGAATTTCAATCAATATTTTGATTGAAGCAGTTTATTTTTGTATTCTTTCCATTATGAGTCTGAACTTTTGAACTTCCTATTACTTGGTAAGATATTCAATCATATTTTATTAACTTATTTTAATTGTAAGTTGTTAGTAATATTTCAATGCTTAATGGAAATTCAAATATTAAAATAGTTTAATGAAAGACTGCTTATAAATGTATGTTTTGTGCTAAAAAAATGTAATGACTATTATTAGTATCAGTATTTTATTAGGCTAAACTTTTAATTGTATTTTTTTGTTTATTTATTGTGTAGAAATGATTTTTTTATTTTTTTAAATATAATACTATATATTATATATTAGTAGAACCTCTATAGAAATAACTTGAAAAAAATTGTTTTATGAAATAATTACAATTTATTATCATTGGTATACATATTATTGTAATGTGACATCGTGTATGTAAAAAAAAAAAAAAATTAAATAGTATTAAAAATTAATAAAATAGTTTATAATATAGTATCCCCACATATATTATTACAGTAAGGCTCAAAATCGGTTTTGTACCAAATATAACCTCCTGTCATGCTCAAATACCATGAATGGGTTACCGTTGGATTTAGAATTTCACGGGCGGTTAGCGAATCATATTCTCCACTTTTGTTTTTCTTTCTAAAATAAATAAAGTCGATACAAACATTTTGATAGGCTTCAATACTGGAACAGTGGTAGGTCTGTAGATCGATACGGGACAAATTGGATCTTGAAGATTTTGATACGTACAGCAAGACCCAGATGGTTCCAAAGGAACTATGGTTCCTTTGGAACTATCGGATCCTGCGTTTTTAAGCCCAAAAACGTACTATTTTCGAGATAACGCAAGGCATAGAGTTTGCATCCACACAACCTTACGTTAATTGTAGTACTGTCATTGAATACATTCTAATTTTGTCGACTTGAGGCCTCTATGATCGAGAGAGAAGGAGTTTATATTATTTATCGATGGTGTTTTAGATCGGCAAGCCATATCATCGCTAATTCTTCACCAAATCTCTAGATTGAGTCATCAATTTCGAAGGCTTCCTTCACCTTCAGGCGGGAAAAATAGTCCAATCACCCCAAAAGTTCAGGCAAACAAGTTATGAAAGAAAATAAACTTTATTTGCGAATAACTACAAAATTACACACTTTTCCCTGGGTTATGCCCATAATTATATAAAAGATTACTAAATTCCCTACAAAAGGAAAAAAAAAATCATCAAAATCGGATAATTTTGAACAAAGATGAAGTCTATTGAAATTTGTAAACATGTTGGTTCCAAACATTAATGAAGATTTAAATTAATTTTTGTTTCCTTTGTCGATTTATCGATAAAGTAACAATTAATTTATTTATCTTTTGATATGTTGTATTATTTTATTTTCTTATTTATTTGGAATTTGATCACTTAACAATATGCTGTGCGAATTTTTCGTACGGGCCTACTGGTATATATATATATATATTATAAACTATTTTATTTTTGCTTGATTTGTATGCTTGATAATTAGATATTCTAGATCGTATATAAATTACTCTTACTTACTTTTTAAATTGGTATTTGATATTTACACGTTTCCACTTTGAGACTGACTGTATGAATTAGGGATCTCTAAACTTTTTGGGCTTCATTAAGTCCTGCGGGCCATTGGTTGTGATGGAAGAAAAAAATGCTTGTTCTATAAATGACACTTGAAATAAGCTTTTTAAGAGAATCTTATGTTCTCAACTAAATTTTATAATTTTATATTTGCGGGCCAGATATGGCCAGTGGGCCGTGATTTAGAGACCCCTGATATAAAATAATACTCACTGAAAGATTTACCTAAAATACTCTTGTAATATATAGTATTATATATCGACCCCACCGCCAATCAACTCCTCATATTATAAACACAATCAACCATCTCCACTCCATTATGAAAGAATTAAAGTTAAATTTTTAAGATTGAAGGCATGCGTTCTGAGGTTAAAAAAAAACCTCACAGTAGATATACAATTCAATATGAAGATCAACACTATTCAACAATTCAATATTGTTTAAATTAAATAATATATGTATATTATGTTTTTACTTTTTTTTTTTTTTTTTTGAAATTTATTCTATTAAAAAGTAAGGTTTGTAATATATACATATATATTAGTTATATATAGGGATTCAACTGTAATAATTAATAATTTATAATATTCTTTTGATCATGTTAAAGATTGATTTTACTTATATTTAAATTATTTTATGAATGGTTGTGATTCTGCATTTATTGATTTTTTAGAAATAATTGAATACAAATTTTCATTGAGTTGAAGAAAAGAATTGTACTATCCATTACTTTAAAGAATTTTATAAGGTAAACACATTGCTCATCTAGTGTGTCGGAATTGATTATTTATTACAATAAGATATCTTTTCTTATTTTTTTTTTTGGGTTAAATTAAGCAATGAGACTAAAAATGAGAAATTTATAGCTGTTTTTTTTAATGTCAGTATTATAAATTTCCTTTTATGGCAAGAAAATTATAACAAACTTGAAAGTTTTTCTTCATGTCCCTCAGTTCACTGATGATACATATTTTTCTTTAAAAATATATTTTAATGATTGTAATTCATATTATCAAGAATTTAAGAAGGAGATTACCAGAATAATAAACTAATACAGACTAAAAGAATAACAAACAGCAAATCTATTACCTTATGAAATAAGTTTATTATTGAGAATTCTAAATCACAAAGAGAATATGTGCTTATGCCATCCATATTTATGTTTTCATATACTTAATAGCACTTGAAATTTGTGTTCTTTCGAAACACTAAGATGGGAAAAACAAAAATATAATTACTTTGTTATAACTCTAAAAAAAATGTACAATTATTCCTTCGTTTGAATCAGATCATTTATCTAAAGAAATTTCTATTCAAAGTTATAAAATTTTGTTTTAAGAAATTTTACTTCATTGAGGTATAATAGTATTAAAATGAATATAAATTAATTTTGAATTGTATTTATATAATTTCTACCTGATATTATGTGTTAAATTTATATTTGAGTTTTTCTTTTATACACTCTGGATTAACTGGCTGTCTCGCTTAACCAGTGATGTCTCGTTCCGACTAGTACAGACAAATGGGATTTTACTTTATGTCCACCCATCAGAGTGCTCATAATATATATGTATTTGTTTTTATTTAACAATTTACAACTTTTGCCATTAGCAATGAAGTTTTAAACTGTACAGCAAAAAACAAATAATTATTTTTAAATGTGGAATATGGATTTTTTCATTAGAAATGAAATAGATAGAAGATGAAAAGGAAATGAATAGTTGATGTAAATCTAAAATCCTAAAAAGTGTGGTCATGGGCTTAGTCGCAGTATGGCAGTTGTTTAATTTTTTTACATAGGAAGAAGGGTTCTATGTAGGATAGGATAAAATAGCAATAAATATAAACACATGAAAAATTTAAAGATATTTACACAGGTTGGTTGTTAGCATTTCAACACTTAAAAGAAATAATTAAGATAAAAGGACAACCTCTACAAGAAAAAAGTAAATTAAAAAATCCTACTCAAACATTTTAATTTTCTTTTAGAAATGGCTTGGCCATTGCGGAGAGGGTCAATATTGTCATGATATTACAGTTATCCTATTGAAAATAATATGTCTCATGCTTTATTAACTTTATTCTACATTTACACATAATTTCTTTTTAATGCAATTCACAAATTCATTCATAGAAAAACTCATATTTTTTAGCTATGCTAAAGATATAGGACACAGAAATTGTTTCTCTAACCCAATCATTAGCATCTGTTATATATATGTTCTTTTATATTTTCAGAATTTAATGAAAACTAAATTTCTGTCAATCAATTAACATCACTCGTAGCTGCCAATTTTGATATAATTTATATCTATATGATTTGTAATTTTAATTAACTATGCTTTAATTATTTGGCTGTTAAAGTAAACTAGTAATAAGTGGTATTTATTACATTAAATTGTATTTATGTATTTTCATAAATGTTTCTGTATTTTTTATTTTTTTATTCATTTTTATATGCTCTACATATTGGATTAAATAATGTATTGCATGGAAAGTAAACTATTTGATGAATCAAACTGTTCTTCATCATTTTTGTTGTCTTTTGCATGCAACACTTTTTCCATAGCTTCCTTAAAAATATCATTATAGATCATGTATTTTGGGCTATCAATTATCATGTCACCTTTCAATTTGAAAAATTCACCTGTAATAGAATACATTTATTTATTAGTCCTTGCTATAATTGTGATTGTTCATAATCAAACTTATATTGCTATAATGTAATAGAATGATTAAAGTAATTAGCATGGGTTGAGAGCACTCAGGGTGAGTGGGAGGAAGTGATCGCCCTTTCCTTTCCTAACAGAAATATTGAGGGGTCTAGAATGCTAATCAATCTACATAAATGAATACAATATGTAAACTAAAATCAATTAAGAAAATGAGAAAAAATTGACTAGCTAGCAAGGCTTAGAAGTAGGTAAACAAGTATCTTAGCACGCTTATTATTATGTTAATTTTCTTCCTCCAAAGAAAATCCTACAACTATCAGAATGTGTATATAAATTTATTTTGAAATATTAAATATCGTATTGTTTGTTTCCCAATAATTATGTTTACTTTGTATATTTTACTGAATTCTTCCTTGTAATGTTAATACCTGCAGTTTTTTTTTTTTTTTTTTTTTTTTTTTTTTTTTTTTTTTTTTTTTTGGTCCATCCTTCCCCCAATCAAAATGGAAAGTCAGCGCCCATGGGTCCAAGTGTCTGTTGCAGTGGAATGTGGGTTTTATTTTAACTAATATTAAATATTCCCTCTTTTCTAATCCATTAAGTTTATAAATTTTTCATCATTCACCATTACCACCTTCAAATACCCTATAGGTATTAACTATATATAAACTTTTAACATTCTAGTGATGGATTATATATTTAAGTATGTTTCTACTTTTATTTCCCAGAATTTGTTTTCAAGCTAGAAAAATATTTTAACTTTTTATTATTTTGTTAATTATAAACATAAGATAAAATTCTGTCATAGTTCATAATTATTCATTTTCACTTTCCTACCGCTACTACCTAAGGAAAGTATTGGTGTTGGGTCAAATTTCGGATTGGTGGTTTCCAATGGATCTTTACGTTTCAGACCTCTGTGATTCGAAAAACAAAATTTTAAGCCCATTTTGAGAGGTTATTAAATTTCCAAAAAACGTCTGAAATTTCGACAAAAATCATCTAAATCCAACCAGGTGTATTGAATTTTCATCCCCAGCGCGGAGCTGCCGCCTGGATAAGATCCAGAAGTGGAAGATGGCCACCATCCAGAGACGCCCTACTGAGGATAACAAAGGCCTACAGGACGGAGTCCCACGAAGCGGTGCAGGTGCTGGCCGGAGCGATGCCCCTGGAACTAATCCTCAAGAAAGATGCCATCAAATTTCACTTCAAGAACCAGGGGCTGGACACGCTATCGGAGGGGCTCCGTGAGAGAATTGTTGAGAACCCGAACCAATGGAGGAGGATTCCATTGAAGAATGGAACAGACGGTGGGTGAGATGCCCGAAAGGGTCTACCCTCAGGAAGTTCTTCCCCACCGTCCAGGCAAGATCAGATGCGGTTTGGGTCCTCCCTGATTGCTGGGTCTCGCAGATTCTCACAGGACATGGAGGGTTCCGAAGAAAACTTGCTGCCCACGGAAAGAATATCCTCCGCGGGGTCCCTGAGGCGGCCGAGCACATCCTAATATCCTATACCGAGATGGAGGGGCGCCATGCGACGTTGCTGAGAGGGGTGGGAGTTTACAGTCTCAATGAAGAAGATTGCCCCCGCCTGGTGGAGAAGGAAAATTACCCCGTCTTTCGTGAGTTTGTGTATGGGTGGAGGGATATGATCGGCCCTGCACATTTCTCCCTGGGGGAAGACCACCTGAAGAGGCCGAAGACCAGTGAGGAAGGACCGGACCGATGCGGTGCGGTTCCATCATAAAAGTGCACAACCGTGTACCGGGCCGCACCACAGTTAACCCAGTTCTGTTCCAAAAATTAAAAATTCCTTAAATCATGTAAATAGAAAAATAATAAATTGTTATTAATAAAAGTGTTGCTTATGGGCAGCAGTGGGCGTACGAGAAGCCAAGCGTATTAACCCACTGCTACCAAAACCCCGTATGGCAGCAATGCCAGGTAGGGAGGGGAAAAAAATTGTTTTATTTGTAACAAAGTAGGGAGCATTGAGGATTTTACGAAGGATTTTGGATTGTAAGGATTTGATACGAGAGGAATTCGATGGTTTAGTGGAGACCTATAACTCAACCCCGTAAGTCCAAATAGGCCTTGTTAAAGTCATGTATATGAGTCTTTTGTAATTAATTGGAAGTTTAGAGCGTTTGTCTAGTAAGTGCTGAAGTAATCGGAAACATCGAGCGGTTTCTTGTCGTTTCAGTCTAGTATGAGGATTCCAAGTTACTAGTTTGTCCAGGTAGCGGATTTGCTCAACAGGGATAAGTGGAGTATTGTTAAAGGAAACTGTAGGACAGGAAGTCATTGGTTTACGACGAAGGGTAAAGGTAATTTGGTGGGATTTAATGGATTTTTTTTAATTCTCCAGTTTTTACACCATTCTTCAAGATTTATGATGTGTGATTGAAGCATTTCGGATGAAATTGATGGGTCATTAGTTACTGATAGGATACATGTGTCATCGGCATATAATGATAGAAATAAAAAAGAAATACAAAACGTAATAAAATAATTAATTTTAACCTATCAATAAAGCAAATGTATTAGAGAAATGTCGAATGAAATAAAATTCAATTATTCAACATAATATAAAACAGCATGAAAAATAAATTAATTTTTTAAGGGGGAATGACGTCATTGTCATTTATGTTGCGCCGATTGCCTGAGACCATCACTTATTTCTCTAATCGGTTTCGAGGAAAATTATTCCAATTTAATTATTTTGTTTTTTCAATGGACATTTTTAATTATTATTATTATTATGGCGCTTCGGTCCTCCAAGAACCCGGGCCTCCTCTACTACAGCCAACCAATCTCTATGGTCTTGTGCTACTCCCCTCCTTCTTCGAACTATCAGCTGCCTCAAATCGTCTTCCATATCCTCCACCCATCTGATCCGAGGGCGCCCTCTGCTTCTTTTGTCGTCCGGCTTTTCATGCAGCATCCTCTTTGGCATTCTTTCCATATGACCTAACCATATGATTCTAGCTCTTTTTATCGATGCCACAATATCAGATTCACCATTAAGTTCCCGCAGCTCCTCATTCTTTCTTCTTCTTCAAATTCCATTCTCAAAGATTCCGTCCCATATTCTTCTCAATACTTTCCTCACCCAGGAGTTGACCGTGCGTTCTGAGTTTTTGGTTAAGGTCCAAGTCTCACACCCATACATAACCACTGGCCTTACTATGGTTTTGTAAATGAGAATTTCAAGTCTCTTTGCAGTGAAAAATAGCATCTATTTCCTCCTGCTATCCTGGCCTTTATTTCACTCTCTATTTTATTATTGCATGCGACCAGGCTGCTAAGGTACTTGAACTGGTCAACAGATCTAAAGTTGTGATTCCTTAAAGCTATTTTTGTACTCGCTTCATTTTCATAGTCTTATTTTTGTTAAATCTAAGGCCCAGTTTAGCTGCTGCTTCTTCGAATTCCTGGAAAGTTCCTGATAATGCTGATTGCGTTTTAGGGATAATGACAACATCATTGGCGTATGCCAGATGTTAAGACATACGATTGTAGATTGTTCTTCTTGAATTTGTTCGAATGGAACGAATAACCGCTTCCAGGCGGGGGGCTTTCGTGCTGAAGCCCCCCTCCTCCTAATGGTAAAATGTAACCACGTTTTATGGTAAAAAATATTAAAAAATTATGCCTTAAAGTATTAATGCTCGTTTAATTACATTTAATAGGACTTCAAGAATCTTTTTTTGTTTTTTTTTTATTTGTTCTTCCCTACCTCGCTTATTAGGCTATACGGGATTTTACCGGGCCGGGGGATGAGGGCGGGGAATTTAAAATCTCCTCCGGCACCGGGACGCGAACTTGTACTTTTTTAAATCATCTCAAATCTTTGTTATCCGGTTGCCAGGCAACTAGCGGTGTTGTGCACACGCTTTAGCCCATTCGGCCACCCCGCCCCCGGGACTTCAAGATTCACTTAAACACCATTTAATGTAGGTAGTTAGTATCTTTCTGTTTTCCCAAAGTAATTATCGTTATATGTATGAAAAAAAAAAAAGCTCCCAGGCTGAGGTTCCTCCCAAAATTAAATCTTGGAACCGCTAGTGCGTCCAGGGCTAGGTTAAAAAGAAGGGGAGATAGAGGATCACCCTGTCTCAAACCATTATCCAACTCAAATCATCGGACAGTGAATTTGCAAGTTTCACTCGACAGGTAGTCTTCATTTTTGTAAGTCTGGCCAGTTTCTCGGGTATGCCTACATCCATCATAGATTTCAAAAGTCCCATTTCAAAAAAGAAAGGACATATTTAAAGTATATACAAATGGTAGAAAAGTTGTGTGAGTGGATACATCACATATATTTGTTACTTAATTATGAGAGATGCAGGGGAAGGGACCGTTGTCTTCTTCCTCCTCCCCTCTCCCAAATAATTTTAATGAAGATGAAACAACAAAATGCCAAACGTTTGCAAAAAATTCGAGAAAATTAATTTTTAAAAGTTGTTCCATGTATTTGATATAAAAGTGTTTATAAATTTTAATGATAAATTTTTCTGAAAAAGAAAGTTCGCCTTACTCTCCCCCAATCAGAGAGGGGCAAATGATATTTTGAGTACCGAGTATTTTATTTAAATTGAATCACTACTTCAGTTAATCGTATGACATCAACTGAAGTAGTAATTAAATTCTTTGGTACTCAAAAAAAAGTCAGTATTTAAGTAAAATAATTGGTACACAGTACTCAAATTAGCATTTGTCCATCTCTGCCCATAACTTGTAAGTTGCCTACGTTCTTTGGAGGAGTGGTTAATTATTTCCAATAACGAAGATTAAAAGTTGCTTGAGGAAGCCATTTTCATAGTTTAAGCATAATCAAATATTTTAGTAGTTTTTTCACATATTTTGAATAGGATAGCTTAATATTTTGTATGAATAATTTAATAAGCATTTAGTAGTAATAACTTTTTACAACTTACTCATAGGTAGATATTCTGATCTTTCATGATCTTCAACTTTAATGTAGTCTAAAGTTTCTAAGTTTGGAAGTACTTTCAATGCTTCTTGTCTCCAAATATTATCTGGATACTTTTCGGCAAATGGGTTCTCTGTTTATAAATAAATATTTTATTTATTTGTTTTGGTAAGAACCATAGGCGGATTTACGGGGGGGAGGAGCTTTCAGACTGAAGCTTTTCCCCCCTCCCCTCCAGCAAAATGGTAAAATATAACCATGTTTTTTAAACAAAAGTATCTTTAAAAGTATTATTGTTTGTCCAATTCCTTTAATAGGACTTAAAGAATCACTTAAACACCATTTCATATTGGTAGTCAGTATTTTTTTTTCTTCCAAAGTAATTATCCAAATATATACACCCTAAAAAAAATCTGCCGGGCTGAAGCCCTCCCCAAAATTCCGTTAGTGGTAAGAACACTTCACTGATAGTAGAGATGCTACTCAAAACATTTGAAATTTGTTTTAACCACTCTATATAATGTCTGTAAATAAATTAATTTTATTTCACAATTTGATTTTTTACGTAACTCGCCGACACTAACGGATCCAGGATTTAATTTTGGGAGACTTCAGCCCGAAAGTTTTAGCATTATTTTTCTGTCACCATTTAAAGTAAAGTGCTGCAGAATAATAACAAATGTTCGTCGAATTTTATGGTGAGCTTCTTCTTGGCATAGGCGGATCTACAGGGAGGGGGGGAGGGCTTTCCGGCTGAAGTCTCCCCCCCAAAATGGTAAATTATAACCATGTTTTATAGAAAAAAAAAATATCATAAACTATCTCTTAAAGTATTATTGTTCGTGTAATTAGAGTTAATAGAACTTCAAGAATGTCTTTAACACCATGTCATATAGGTAGTTAGTTTCTTCCTTCTTTTTATTAAATTAATTATCGTTATATATATATGGAAAAAAAAAACTTTGGGGCTGAACACCCTCCCAAAAATTAAATCATGGATCCGTTGGTGCCTCTTGGTAAATCTTTTTAAACAAGTGCTTTGAATAGTTCAAAAAATTGAAAAGTGGTGATTTTTACTTGAGAAATGAAGAACCAGAAATGTAAATGTGGTCTATTTTGAGCTACTTATATTATTTATTTGCTTCGACAGGGCACGATTTTTTTTGTTCAGCAGCACATCACTTTTTATGAAAATGACTTCTAATTAACTGGTTTGCCACCAAAGAGCAACAGTAAAGATGGGGAAAATGTATAGGTAGTGATGGACAATATTTCGAATAAAATATTTTTAAACATTTTTATGCAATAAACGTCTTTTTCTATACAGTTTTCATTTTTACATAACAGGAATTTATCCAAATTTTGCCATTCCTGCAAGTAGTTCTGGTTTGCCTGTGTCTGAATGTGCCACTATCCTGTGAGAATGATGGATTACAATAATTAGCAACAATAGCCAATATTTTGAAGAATAATTTTAATGTGCAGGTTTTATACCAAAATATATATAAAATTTATTTTATGCAGAAAGACTTTTTTAATGACTTTGTACTACTTTTGATTATAAATCATGTCATTGTATATTACCTTTAAATGCTAAGGATTTCAACTCTTGGCATGAAATCAATCTATAAAATTCAATGGGCTGATTGATATAGTTGTAAGAGATGTCAAGTTCTTTTAATTTAATCAATTTTTCAATTCCCTTGGTGTCCTTTAAAAAATTCCTCGCGATTATAAGAACTTCAAGTGTTGAACCAACTTCTTCCTAAAAATAAATTCGTTTTCAACACTAAAAAAACTGGAGTTTTTTTTTATATAGGTCATTTCAAAATTTCGTTCACGTTTAAACATAATTTTTTTGCAGCAAAAATTAGAGAAATAGCGCATTTCTCGACTCTTAGTAATCTTAATAGATGTTTTAGAAATTTACTAATGTAAGCATAAAAAATACCTCCTAAAGTATTATTGTTCGTATAATTACATTTAAAAGGACTTTAAGAATCACTTAAACACCATTTCATATAGGTAGTTAGTTTCTTTCTCTTTTTCTAAAGTAATTATCGTTATTTTTATGAAAAAAAAAGCTTTCGGGCTGAAGCCCCCCCCCCTCCCATAATTAAATCCAGGATCCGCTAGAGTTCTTGAGCATACGTAATCATTCAGCAGAGGTAAGGCTTGATTTGCGATCCCTTGTTCATAGAAACGCTTTTTTATTTAACATATAGTATATTACAAGGACTTGTAGTCTCCGATAATTATTTCTTCAATGCACTATTTTGGCTCATCTGGATGGTGTCTCTGTTTTTTTGTTTTTTTAAAATATATATATATATGGTGTGAATGTGTTCATATATCACTATAATTATTGTCCACGTGACAGATTATCATATTTCTAGATAAAAAAATAATGTGTGTGTATATATATATATAAGTGAACTGTTGTTATTATTATAGTCTAGATGTAGGTTTTTCATAAAACTTTAATTCTAAATTAATACTATTGATCCAAATAAAACATAAAAAATACTGAGTAGAAGATGACTCCCCTGTCAACGGTACTACTAAATTTAAATTAGGCAGCTCTATTAAGAAATTCACGAGACAAACTAAAGAAAATAGTATATAAATACACCATTATTGAATTTTTTTGATGCAAAACTTTAAAAAAAAAATGAACTATTCAATACTTACCAAACCATCCAACGACTTAATGTTATTTTGAGCTAGTGACAAAACTTTTAAATTTTTAAGTCCCCAAAGATGGGATATTTTTTCAATCATATTCATCGAAAGACTTAAGACCCTGTTAATAAATTATGATATTCAGTCGACCGACATATTTCATTATATAAGACAATTTTGAAGAAGATTAACTGACACACATTCTTCCAAATACTGCAAGGAATCATCCATGGCATTGATGGGCGGCCATATTCCTCGAAGGATTACCTCCCTGGCTTCCGATAAGAGCTCATAATGCATGTGGTGCCAATCTTTAAGAACTTCGCCCAGTTTGCGAGCTCTCTAGAAATTAAATTTGTTTCAATTAATAATATATTTAAGTTTATTAATTACATGTTTTCTAAACTCTTTAATCTTACAAAATGATTTTTCTCATGTTTGCCTTTTTTATGATGTTTAGTTTTCATTTCTATAATAAATGTCGAACCTTAACCTTGTATCTTGAATCTTGCAGTGTAATGAAATTATAATAGTTCCTTTAGTTAAGTCCAGCTGTTTATTTTATTTATCTTCAATCTTCACCTGCATCTATCATGGAAGTGACAATAAGTAGATTTGTTGTTATGTTAAAAATGCAATTTTAGGCATGAGAAGGAATAAGCAATTTTAAATAATAAAAATTGATGATTTATTTTATTATTGATCTTGATAGTAAGAATAGCACAATATAACTCGAACTAAGATGTTGTAGATACTACATCTAAATTCAAGTTACATTGTGCAACTTGTACTTCAGCTCGCACTAGTGGATCCAGGATTTAATTTTGGGGGAGAGGGAGGTTTTTTCCTGTAGAACATGGTTATATTTTATCAT